TTCGGATGTATCTCGATAACCGATATTGCACAATCTTAATATTCACTGTGAAAATATCGAGTAGGATTTGCAATGTTATAATATTGTATACATAAAAAAAACTCGTTGAATCTAATTGCATCAGTATTGAGAAGAAAAACTCGATATATACTTACATTATTGTTTCGTATTAATAATTGATATTTAGCCCGTTACTAAACAATTTATCTGAACTATCTGTACAATCGACCAAGAGAGAAAATAGTCCAAAAAGTAGAACGAGCCGAATATATTGTCACATTAATTGAAGATATTAATATTAATTTTTCACAGAAGCCCCGAATAGAAATTTATCCTACACTGAATTATCTGATAAGAAATTAACAAACGGATATTTCTGATCAAAATATCGATGAATTTTTATATCCAATCAGAATCCAAAATTTAATCAGATAATTTAAAAAAATTATGAGCCAATGTTTTTCATTAAACGTTTCCTGATTGGATACAAAAATTCATCGACATTTTGATCGGAAATATCCGTTTCTTAATTTTTTATCGAATAATTTCTCTCGGTGCATAGTCTTGTACTGAAAAAAAATGTTTGGTACTTGCAACTACAATCCCACAAAGAAATAATTACTATAAATCATAGTCAAAAAACATTTTTTTATTAAATTCTACTCTAATGTTAATGATAAATATATATTTAGTGTAGGATAAATTTCTAGTCGGGGCTTCTGTGAAAAATTAACATTAGTATCTTCAATTAACGTGACAATACGCTCGTTCTACTTTTTGGACTATTTTCTCTCTTGATCGATTGTTCAGATAAATTGTTCAGTAGCGGACTAAATATCAATTATTAATGCTTACACAAAACAATAATATAAATATATATCGAGTTTTTCTCCTCAATATTGATGCAATCGACATTTATTTACATATATAGATTCACCGACATTTTTTTTATGTATACAATATAATAATCTTATATGCATGTTATTACTATTTTACTATAAACAATATGATTGAGGTAAAAAATGACTATAATTTCGGCTAGATGAATCATTTCTTTCTGTCAGTGTGATCAGCTTGATAGTAATCAGTTATCTGTTTTGTAAAATGATGTTATCAGGTTCTGTGCGGGAAAAATTTCAGTTGGTGTAACTGAATGGAGAGAGGGAGAGAGGGGTGCAGATGAAAAATTCACTGACGAGAAATAATATCTCTGTTATCGTGACCGAAAACATTCATCTGAACATTCAGTTGCGTGAAAACGCGGCTGAGACAAGTGAGAGCAATTGGTCGAATCGAAATCTCCTACGGGAATCTTTCCGTTCCTACAATCGAGTTTTTTGTCTGGTCCACAGGCAGCACAGAAAATTCTGAACTAACAGAGTTGTTCTTTTTCCGTGCTAAGACATGTAATACAACGTGGCAATCAAGAAAAAGAGAAAGAGAGAAAGAGAGAAGATAATAAGGGGATTATTATTAATTCAGCATTAGGACGTAATCATCTTAGATAACTTAGATTAGGATCAAGCTGATCAGTATCATAGGACAAATTTCTAAAGAAATTATTAGGATAAATTTCTAAGTAAATTATTGGGAAATTAGATAACTTTAAAAAATCCTAGTAAATCTTATATAATTCCTCACTGCTTACTAATTATTGCACAGTATCAATTGCCAAGTGTTCACCAATCCCTTTCCTCACGGCGCTACAACGTGTCAATACCTTGGAAGGAATTACGACTCATAATATCAATTGCGTGCGGGATGCTTTACGCAGAATACCCTGCAGCATATTAAATTTAAACATCTCCGGGTATATTCTGCGCGGCGCGTTACTTCCGTCTTCGCAGACACGAAAGCCGGAAGTGGGTATTGCCGGCTACCCTCCTCCCTCCCTCCCTCTCTCTCCCTCTCTCACCCTCTCTCTCGCCGCTTACTAAATTAGTACCATCTCCACCCCTTCGAGGCTCTACGATGCGACCTGTTCCTTATCTGTAACTACCATACCGCCGCCACCACCACCGACCAGCATCCACTATATCATCCGACCGGCACCCTCCGCGGACCCTCACAGCCCCGACCCTCCACTCGATGCGCTCACGCATACCCGCGGTGCGGCCACGACCAGCCACGAATTCGGTCGTCGCTATACGCACCCGCCGCCGTTCGCGCACCAGTTAGACGGCTCTGCTCGGAACATATGTGCTTCGGTATTAATTTCCCCATAGTCCCTCGCGCCGATGTCCCGTGCCGCGTTTCGACGAGCACTGCGCGAATTAATGGAAAGTCGTGCGCGAATACCTCAATAATTCTCGATAACACGAGCTCCTCCTCGCGAGAACCGCCCGTTGTCCGAGCAGTGAATTTGCATTATGTCCAAAATTCCCATGAATTTAACCCTTCACAACCTTTCGCGCAAATCAAGTTACTCCCGTGATTTGATAAATAATTTCTCGCTCGTGCGAAATCTTATCTGAATCCTTTTAACAGCGAGGAGAAGTTTTCTTTGGATTTAGGAATGTACGAGAGAGAAAAAGAGTGACTATTTACCGCAACACACTAGATTGATTAAGCAATATTTTTATCACAAGGAAAGAAAATTTACGGCTGAATCTGGAACATTTCGAGAAAGACAACTGATATATCGCAGGGACGAGATTACAATGAACTGAAACATCGACAATTCTAAGTAGAGTACTGAATGAATTCAAGAGAGAGAGAGAGAGAAAGAGAGAGAGAGAGAGAGAGATTATAAAAAGCACAATTTCCACGAAAAAATGCGATTAATAAGATGCTCGTGAAAGTTCGAAATGGTCGTTAAATTTTAGCGTCGTATCTGAAACGTAAAGGGCAATGCTCCGCCTCCAAACAATCGAAATACGAGGGAGCTCGCAAGTTGTTTCTAGTGTTGTCGTGCACATAGTTATTTGCGGGTTCCGGCACAGAGCGTACCGAAAAGGACAGACTTCGTTAGAAATTCCTTAAAGGAAAAGTTTTCTTCTCATCGAAAATTTGGTCGGTAACTGCCGTCGCTCGCGACTTTTTAATTCTCAGCGGTAAATATCCCGGCGAGTTTGCTTGGAATTAAAATTGTGTTAAAGTAAAATTCGCTTCAGCCTTCAGCAGAAGTGCCGCGTGAGTCTTTCGGAGAAGCCGTGGCGTAAAGAGAAAGCTGCTCTTTAATTAATAGTGAATTATAATAAATAAAATCTTACACGCGTAAAATGTAGCGCGAGAGATTAAAATCATTTCCTTGGAAATCTCTTAATTTTAATAAATTTTATTAAATGACTTCACAGAGAAAGAGAGAGAGAGAGAGAGAGAGAGAGAGAGAGAGAGAGAGAGAGAGAGAGAGAGAGACTGCTTCACGGTAGCGCGAAGGCTTAACAAAATTTATCGCACCTAAAGAAAGAAATAAGGCGGAGCGTGATACAGCACTCGACTTTGATACATCCAGCATAAATCAAAGCGCGTAATACCTTAAAGAGAACATTTTTCACATTTTTTGTTAATGAACGAAATGCATATTGACCCCTTTTTGTGAGCTACTGATATTATCCTTAAAAACTTAAAAGAGGGATTACATGCCGAGATTAATTCTCCCACGGATTATGCCGCTGATTCTTTCAATCGGGCCATCTCCTTCTCTCTCTCCCCTCCCTCCTCTCTCGCTACTTTACCCTGACATCCTTCCCGAAGTCTTTAATAAATAGTAAAGATATTCAAATGACGCATTATGGATACGTTTCTGGGATCCAGGGCGAAATCGAGAAGAAAGAGCATTTCATATCCGGCGCGAGGGAAATTGTGCGCGCCATTACTATGCTCACACGTGGGCGCGAATCGATATGTGTATGTCGATATAAATTCAAAGAAAAATGCTATTGCGAAAACGTGGAAAATTGAACAAACGAGAAAGGAGCGGATGGAAGGACGACATGGAGAGGTACACGCGCGCATACACACACACACACACACACACATACATACACGCGCACGCTCACCCACCCACACCTCCCGGATCGGGAATATCAGAGCGGAGCGAGGATGGCAGTTAATAAAAACGTTCTAAGCAACAATGACATTCGCTACACGTGGGACCGCGGATCGACATTAGCCGGACGTTGAGTGCCGAAGAAGAAACAGCACGTCCGTCGCACACGACAACGTGAATAAACAGAAACCGGAGCGGCGACGGCAGACCCGGGTCGCGGGGGACAGGAAACGCGCTGTAGAGAGAGAGAAAAAAAACGAGAGAGAGAGAGAGAGAGAGACAGAGAAAGAGAGAGAGGAAGAAAGCAAGAGAAACGCGGAGACACCGCGAGGATACTGGCCGGAGGAGCCCGGGGATCGAAAGGCATACACTTGATTTCTGGTTAATAAAATGTTACGCGAGACATAAAGTGATACGATGATGTATCGCGAGCTATAGCATCGTCGAGGCGGGGCGCAAAGCAGGACGGGAAACGAAGGGGGTAGCAAGTCACTGTACGAGGCTACGTGTTGCGGTGGCGGAGACGCGGTTCGGGGTAGGTAGGTAGGTAGGTAGATAGATAGATAGGTAGGTAGGTAGGTACCCAGGGGTGTACGCAAAGAGAGCGCGAGCGAGAAAGGGTGGCGGGGGGAGAGCAAAGGGGGACGCGCGGGGAGCTTCCTTCTCTCACACGTACATACGTGCAGCTCGGTGTACGCGTAAAGAGCGACGCGTGTTGTCTCACGGTCACGCGTGTGCGAGGCACGTAATGGGTTGAATAGAGCCGAGAGGGCGCAGTCGCGAAGCCGGAGCCACCCTCGCGACCCTCGGCAGGTAGCGCCGGTGGTGGCGGCGGCGGTGGCGGCGGCGGCGGCGGCGGTGGCGGTGGCGGCGGCGGCGGCGGCGGCGGTACTGGTGGAGGTGGAGGAGGAGGAGGAGGAGGTGGTGGTGGTGGTAGTGGTGGTGGTGGCGGCGTCGGCGTCGGCGTCGTCAACCCACCACCGGAACACCGTCCCGAGGAGGTAGTGAGTTCGACTCGTGCCGGGTTGCGAGCCGCACACACGGTTCGCTGATCGTCGACCTCGACCGAGGGAAGGTGAAGAGAGATAGAGAGAGAGAGTTCCGAAGGGAGAGTCGCGCGACGTGAGAGCGCGCGATTTTTGTGACCACTCAGTCCGCTCAGGCCGATAGATTGCAGTTGTTCGTCCGTGCGTTCGCGAATCTCTAAGAAGTTCGGCGGTTCACACTCGGCGCTCCGTGTACTCGTGACTTAGCTCGTCGCGGCCAGGGGACTTGTTCCGCGTTGCCGTCGTGAGCGGAAGAGGAGAGCGGAGAGACGAATCACTCTCTCTCTCCCTTTCGTTCCGTCGCTCGACCCGACGGCGAAGAATGATCCGAGTCGGCCAGAAGGAACGCTGAGGACTCAATCCGGGGGTGAAGAGGACATAAGCCGTGTGAGGCAACAGCGAAGCCGCAGTGATTTATACGCCGCGATCATAAGTTTCCTCGCAGCCGGGAAAAGGGGAGAAGAGAGAGAAAGAGAGAGGCAGTGTATGAAGGTGTAGTGTGTACGTACGTACGTGTGCTCTACGGTATGACCAGCCACGAGTGAGGCCCCCGGTACCCCGACATCCATTCTCGCGGAAGCGCCACGAACACGTAAGTGGTGATCGTCGCTTGCAATTTTCGCGCTCGTGCGCGATCTTTTTATTGCTACTATCGCGAAGCGATAGATGATGAGTCCTGCCGTTGGTGTTTCGCGGGGTACAAGTCCACACAGGGTAGAATCGCTCAAGTCGGGGTACAAACCCGCTGACCATCACCCGTCGGCGAGATGTGCTCCTCTCATTCAACGGCAGTCGTTTTGTTGCGCGGCCACATCCCACTGATTCCGCCGTCGGCGGAAAGTATCATCGCGTCCGCGGCGTTTTTCGCGTCGCCCCGGGCGATCGGTACGAACAGGGCGCGATCGTGAACCGGAAAATCAGAGAGAGAAACAGAACGCGCGGAAGATCCCGACGGGGCAGCACGAGAGAGCTCCAGTATGTGCCGCGATGTCTCAATGGAGGTATAAATATCTCTGCCGCGAGAAAGAGTCTACCCGGGACTAACTAATCGAGTTCCCCTTCGCGGGTCACCCTCTTCCTCGTGCCCTTTGCTCCTTCGTGGATCGAAGGGTGGAGGTCGGAGAACCCCGTCGAGAGAGGCCGAAAATCTTCTTTCCGGTCAAAGAGGCTATTTAAAATTTCACGCCCGCGGAAGTCATGTTTATCGATTCCAGTCCCTTGAGTGACTCGAGACAGCGAGGCGATCGGAGACGCTGAAGCGATAAATAACGCTCCCCGTGAACGTAAAATTTTCCGCGTCTCTTGTGGGAATAAGAGAGAGAGAGAGAGAGAGAGAGAGAGAGAGAGAGAATGTGTATGTGTGTGTGTGTCATTTCCGGCATTTGTTGCCGGTATTCTACTCGCACTGCTCAATTGCGCTTAGAGCGCGGCGTCGACCATCCGACAATAACCGGCCGAATTTTGGGCTGTTTGCCGCAAAACCATGTTACGAAGCCGGGGGACGACGATTGCGGTTCTGTCCGCATCAGCGTTCCGTCGTAAATACAACTATAGCGGAGATCGCGGATATTCCGCGGAGGAACATCGCGGCGGATTTAATTTCGTCTCTTCTCTCTCTCCATCCCTCTCTCTCTCTTCTTTCTATGTTTCTCTGCGTCTTTTCGGTCGAGAACGCACGATATCTCGCGGGGTTCGGATTGAATCGCAAGGAAAAAACTAGGACCGTCTCCCCTTAATCCGAGCGCCAAAATTTTCACCGAGAAAGATAAAGAAGCTCCGCGCGTTTCCGGTGTGCTCAACGTTTCGATGTCCATGTATTTTTCACTCCGCACCAGACGCGGAGGAACGACGGGCCCGCAGGCTCGTTGGTTTTCATGGGGAGTGCATTGCTTGCGCCGCGACACAAAGAAATTTTTCAACTTCCACTCTATTTCGCCGAGATATGAAACCACCAAGTCCCCGACTTCTACTCTTCCACCTCGTCTCTCTTCTCCTTGCCGCGCCTCCGCCGCCGTTCGACGGTCACGAGTGTCGGAATCGCCATTTGTTTTAACACTCCACCCGCGCCAGCCTCTCCGTGTGTGCTTCCAATTCGTTACTTTCTTTAAACGCAGCGTCCAATTTACGTCGCTGCGCGCGGTGACGTAGGATTCCCGTGGAGAAATTCAAGCCCCTTCCTCCCCCGGGGCTGACAAATTTCTCCTCGCGAAACAGGAAAAAAAGGGTCGGGCTTAATGCGCGTTCTACGCTAAACGGGCTCGAGACGAGACACGGAGATGACTGGTCTCGCCGTTTCTCGTCGCCGGAGGCATCGTCGAGCCCGTCTAGCAGTTTGGTAGATAATATCCTTCTCGATCTTCCCTTCTCTCCTCTCGCTTCTGTCTCTCACCAAGGTATCGAGTTGCCCATTCGATCCGCAGTTTCGAAATACGGCGAAGTCCTCACGCGGAAGTCACACCGACAGAAATTACACATCACGCACGAGGTGCACTCATTGCTGTTTGCCATCGAGTTCATCCGCAGAACCCCATCATATTCCAGAGATCGATCGAGTTTCTTTCCGAATCGGCTGTCTACCGTCGACAAACAAGTAGACCGATGATTGCGGAAACGCGGTTGTTTGATTATCGCGCGCCGCGCACCGATCTATCGCGCGTAAAATTGCAAACGCATATCGACCCTCCTCGTAATGACGTCTCGACTTTGCACAACAGCGGAGATACAGTTGAATGGGTAGCGTAGAGCCGTTGTCGACGAGAAAGAGAGAGAGAGAGAGAGACAAATAGAAACAGGGAGAAAGATAGAGAAATGGAGAAGGAACGAAAGGGCGAGAGATAAGCTCGCTTATTTGTTTCTTATCAAACTCGCGACGCTGTTGTGCAACTGTCGGCCATCGTGTCGGCGATTTTCCGGGCGACGCCGTCGCGCCAGGACGAAACGGAAGTTGCTTGAATCGTCTAATTGGCAATCAGACGTTGCTTTGATCCCCTCGCAATTTCCGTTGTCTCGGCAGCGGGGGTTAAATTGTCCTTGGCACTGTCTATTTACGCGGCGCATTATCGCCGAGCGAAACAATCGCACGTCTCTCTGCCCCGGCCGGCCGCCCACCCTCAGTTCTCACCCCCGGGGAGAAAAGAGAGCAGCAGAGGAGAAGGGGGGGGGGGCGGAAGGATAGCAGAGAAGAACTTAAACTTTACTTTAAACGTCCTAAACGGAAGATAAATTATTACGAATCCGCGTTAAATCCACGTGGCTGTGCGAGAGCCGGGCGAAAGAGAAAGAGAGAGAGGCGACGCGACGCAGGGGGATGCACAAGGAATACATTAATGCGAAATGCGGCGCGCGTTCGCGCCGCATCACAGCCGCGCGCCACGCTCCGCTCCGCACCGCGAACGCAAAACTAACATCTGCGTTATCCTCCGAGAAACGCGAAATCGCTTAAGCGCGTCTTAAGCGCGCGGAGACGAAACTTTCGCTATATCCGTCTGACAGTTATCCGATACCTACATTACACGCCGGGATACCCGATATATTATGCGCGGACTAGTATATAATGCGCGCGGTAGGGGGAGAGAGAGAGAGAGAGAGAGAGAGAGAGAGAGAGAGAGAGAGTACGCCGTCTTCCGGCGCGCCTCGCCACCCCCGCCATCACCGGCGGATGATTTTATTTTAGCGCGCGAATTCCGGCGCGAGCGAGCGAGCGAACGGATGGACGGCGGATATTGCGCTTTTTCTTCGGGCGGTCGCGTACGTAACGCGCGCGCGAATCCCGCGGCGCGAATGGAATCGCGGGCGATTCGACGTAATGATATTACGTGCCATAAATTTCACGCGTCAGAGAGAGAGAGAGAGAGTAGGAAAAGGGAGAGAGGCAGGAAGGTGGAGAGAAAGGGGGAGAGCGAAAGGGAGAGAGAGATAGAGGCGGTAACTCTTGAACATCGACCGATGTGCCAGACGTGCGTTGGCCTCTCGCGCGCGGGCTTTCATCCCGTTACACGCTCTAATGTGCGCGCGTTGCGGCTGCATCTGCCAGGCCGTCGCGACATGCGCCGCACTGAATTCGCAGATACATTCCGCTCCGGCAGCTTTGTGTAATTAATTGACGTTTCCGTCAACGGCATCTTTCCGGGGGTTGCCGAGTTGCCGTCCGGCGACCTGCCCCGCGGCGACCGTCACTCTCTCTCTCTCTCTCTCTCTCCCTCCCTCTCTCTCCTCTCTCTCCTCGGCCTCGCCGTGACGGTGACTTATCGTTAGCTGTCCCGTCGAATCGAACCGCGTCGAATCGTGCGGGCGGCTCGCAAAAACGGCGGGCGGCCTGGGAATTTGCGAATTCGACGTTGCGCGTCATCGGCAACCGAGACACGGAACGTCCTCGCGTCTGTGTGTCGCGCGGCTCTTTTCAGCTCTCTTACTCGATTATTTCGCCGACTTCAACGGAATATCGAGTAAAGTAGCGGTCCTAATTATGAGTCACTTGAGGTTAGAGTAACTCCCGTTCATTTATATGAATTGGTCCACAAACATCAAGAGGAACTGTTAATATGGATACAAGCATCATGGTTTTAAAGCAAAATAATTAGACTTCAAATTAATTCATTCTATATTCAAGGAGAAATAAACAGAAACGTTTGAGAGCGAGTTCCAATTAGTCAGCAAGTATTTTCGTACAATGCATCTAAATATTGCAATAAGTTGCCGTGTGAGACTCATTCGGTCTACTCTTTCATTATTTTTCATGCTGCCGCGTTGCGATATTGCTGAACACCTTCCCGCAGTATAACTTAAATTTAGATATTAGAATATAATAGTTTAGAGTCAGATTTATTTTTGGGGTCAGTGTAGACTAGTTGAGTTAAGTTAGGCATTAAAATTAACTGAAAAATTGTTGTCTCACTATTTTGTCGCATTTATTATGTATTTCTTCTTTTTTATATAATAATAATCGACCAATAAAATATTATTATTATGTTTCTACAGATTATACGATAACAGATTATACGATATCCAATTTTATATCGATAATGCCGGTATTCAAATTGTTTTGATCTATATAAAATAATAATATAATACGTAGCACAATCTGCTAACAGTTTTATAAATTGAGTTACTAAACCAAATGAGATACTCTAAATTTTTTTTTAAATGTTAACAATGCTCGCAAAAGTAACCTTGGAAGGCAATGGTAAGAAAACTAAAAAATATAAAAATATTTCGTCCGTGTTGTAATCGTAATGTGTACTTTTTTATTATATTAATGAATCAAACCAGAATAGGGTCTCGACTCATAATCATCACTTTATTAGGATTAATTCTGCAGTTTTCTCTGTCGTGGGAAAGATATTTATCTAAATAATATAGAGGTAAAGAGAGCTGGAAAAGGGGAATTAGGTCCGTCATGTTGCGAGTAGACATTGGGAGCATCTTCTAATTCCAATACAGGAGCAACGACGTATCGAGCTTGTGTCAGCCGGCGGTGAGCTCGAATTACTTTCGCGCTGACACACGACATGTCACGTTCGATCACGCCGAGCACGTGAGTCCTGCCTCATAACCTAATTTTCCTATAGACAACATCCTGCCGTCGAAAGCCGC